TGTATACACTTCAGTAACTAGCCAGTATTGTGGCCATAAAACCATTCTGGGTCCTGGTTCAAATGACCACTTGGTAACCAGGTCTTTTCTTGATTATGTGGTGGAATAATGTTTGGAAATACTAGCAGGTATGTTTTTCGTAGCACATCCCTTACCTGGGAACTTTTGGGGCAGCTGGAACCTGAAGCATCTTTGCCTCAGGTAAGGCAAATGGCAGCAAAAACATTGGCCAGGTTTTGGTTATAAAACGCTGAGACTGTGAAGGGATCACTGCCTTCAACTGACTGTTCTTCTGCCCTCATCCCAGGATACACTGAAGAGGGGTAACCACAGAGCCCTGTTATTGGGACCTTTACCCTCTTTTCACTCCCATTTACCTTAAAGGAATAGTGAAGTCAGAGAGAGTCACAAATGGGCTTTCTGTACACTAGTATTGGATAGGATTTCCCCAGACTGGAGGAAGGGAGAGCTGAGGGTAAATGGGATTAAAAAGAGGGTGAAGGTCCCAAGAACATAGGGCTCTGTGGTTATCCTTCTTCAGTGTATCCTGGGAAGAGGACAGAACAGTCAGTTGAAGGCAGTGATCCTCAACCCTATTAAAACTAACAACTCCTTTATGTAGTAAATATTTTATGAACTTCTCTTTACTATCCTGAAGTGAAATGAAATTCATGGGTAATACTACTCCCATAATTGTGACAACCAATTAACATGTCCACAAATTTGCAAAATATCCCATGGGGGATGGGAACAGTCCTTGTTGAGAATTACTGGTTTAGGGGTTTTCTTTCCTTGCTAGGAACTGGGGAAGTGCAAGACCTAAAACTGGAAGTTGCTGTGTGGTGGGGTGTAAAGGGCCTAGAGTAGCCTGGAAGAGAATATCCATTTCTGAGAGTGCTTGGGAATCTAGAGAGAGAGAGAGAGAGAGAGAGAGAGGAGAGAGGGAGAGAAAGGAAGAGGGACAGGGTGTCTTGGGTATCACTGTGAAGTGGATGTGACAGAGGGGTGGGAGGTAGCAGAGGTCATATCCAAAGGAGGCTTGTGGGTGTGAAGAATGGCCCAGCAGTGACTTGCATAATCTGATAACACAAATCAGTAGTGAAGACATTTTAACAGATGTCAGCAAGATGTATAGCTGCACCCTAGCCTCACCTTGCCCAAAGCTCACTGATAGAAAGTCATAATTCTTTTGCACTTGGAGTTCATGGACCAACAACATTCTTACTTCTTACAATTATTTCAGAAGAATCCTGCACTTGTCTGAGTTCAGTCTTCCTCCTACCTCCCTAATGTGGAGGTATAACCATGGTGTAGGATCTGCTGCTTAAACACAAGTCTCTGCTGCTTAAAATTCAACTATGCCCATGTATTGAAAGGCAAAGATTCTGGTCCCATCTAAAGATAATCTGTGGGTTTTATGAAACAGAGAAGAGAGCTCAAGTGTAGATCCCTGGAAGGTAAAAAATAACTGTCCCTTCAGGGGACAATCATCACATAATTTTATTTTCCATCTTTGCTAGGAAATGAGGATTGTGGTGTTGGTGGTGAATATATTTACTCAAATAACAAGAGAATGGGATTCGCAGAGGGAAAACCCTTGATTTAAATCTTGGTTTCATTGTTCAGGCCAGGCCATTCATTTAACTTGTTTTGAACTCAGTTTCTTCATCTGTAGAATGGATGTGAGAATCAGATGTGGAAATGTTTAGAAAGCCTTTTTGCCATCTGTAATATCACGGTTTCTAATATTGTCACGACATTCATATCAGGATTGACTAATTTTTGCCAATCAGTGACCAGACAGGGTAAATAGATTTCCTTTGGACTCAATGAATTCTGCCTCAGATGGCCACTACTTAAGAGTTCTTTGATTGATACTTGAAGTGGAAAATGTTTCTGTGAAAGCAATTTAATTATGCTGTGATAGATTTTGTTACATAGATGAGTGAAATGTAAACTACTAATTGCATATAGACTATATTTGTAGGAGTTTTAATTTTGAGCATGATTTCCTTCACATTTGTTCTTAATTTTATAAATGGAGATGTGTTTGTTAAAGGTTTATTTGAGACACATTCTTTCATCCATCCATCCATCCAACCACTAAAAACATACTTGTTGAAGTGTTTACTTTGTACAAGTCCCTGGGAGGGGTGCTGTGAGGATTCAATGGTGAATCAGGTCTAGACACTCATGTGGAGATTGAGTGTCAACATCCTGGACTTTTAACTGCTTGCTTTTTCTATTTTTAATGCTACTTCTTGCACCTTCACTAAAGGATGTATACTTTATTTAGTTCAGTTATCTTATTGATATTTACCGACCTGTTTTTTGGGGGAGGAGGGATGGAATAATTATTTATTTGCCTGTTGCTTGGGCTGAAAAAACCAGGTTATGTTAGAGTGATATCAAGAAGACCACATCTCCAGAAGCCAATTGAGTGATCATGTCAAGATATATCCTATTTCTCCATTTTATAGTATTTAACAAAATAAAATTAAGAATTCAAAAAAACATCCAAGTATTAGCATATATACTCCTGGGGAGGGGAAGATCTTCTTATGGAAATCAGAAAAATGGAAATTGAAAAAATGGAATGCCATTTTTACTCAATGGATTGGCAAAACATAAATGATTGATGATTGCCAAAGCTTGAGGTGGCATAGGACAAATCCGTTCTTTCATTTATTGTTTGTAGGTATGTGAGTGGCAAACCCCTTATTGGAAAGTAATTTGAACATATTTTAAAAAATAACAATGCACATATCTTTTGATATAATTTCATTATTTCAGAGAAATAAGGTAGTAATACATAAAAGAAATATACAGGATGGCCGTTTAGGAACAGCTCAGGATTGCAGCTCCCAGTGAAAGTGCAGAGGGTGAGGGGAAGCCGCATTTCCAGACAGATTTTTATTGCCCACAGACCAGGAGATTCCCAGGCGGAGGAGCCCCATGGGTCGCCAGCGACTGTTTTGGCCGGTGCAGCAGTTTCACGGCTATTTTGGCCTGCACAGCTGCTTTGCGGCGCCCTGGCATGGCAGTTCTCCGTACAAAATACACTGGTCCGGGGTAAAAAGGAATGAACAAAGTCTCCAAGAAATGTGGAACTATGTGAAAAGACCTAATCTACGTTTGATAGGTGTACCAGATGTGATGAAGAGAATGAATCCAAGCTGGAAAATACTCTTCATGATATTATCCAGGAAAACTTCCCCAACCTAGCAAGGCAGGCCAATATTCAAGTCCAGGAAATACAGGGAACACCACAAAAATATTCCTCAAGAAGAGCAACCCCAAGGCACATAATCGTCAGATTCACCAGGGTTGAAATGAAGGAGAAAATGCTAACGGCAGCCAGAGAGAAAGGTCAGGTTACCCACAAAGGGAAGCCCATCAGACTCACAGTAGATCTCTAAGCAGAAACCCTACAAGCCAGAAGAGAGTGGGGGCCAATATTCAACATCCTTAAAGAAAAGAACTTTCAACCCAGAATCTCCTATCCAGCCAAACTAAGCTTCATAAGTGAAGGAAAAATAAAATCCTTTGCGAACAAGCAAGTACTCAGAGATTTCATCACCACCAGGCCTGCTTTACAGGAGCTCCTGAAAGAGGCTGTACACATAGGAAGGAACAACCAGTACCAGCCACTCCAAAAATAAACCAAATGGTAAAGAGCATCAACACAATGAAGAATCTATATCAACTGATGGGCAAAACAGCCAGCTAGCATCAAAATGGCAGTATCAAATTCACACATAACAATATTAACCCTAAATGTAAATGGACTAAATGCCCCAATCAAAAGGCACAGACTGGCAAATTGGATTAAAAAGCCAAAACCCATCAGTGTGCTGTATCCAGGAAACCCATCTTACATGCAAGGATACACAAAGGCTCAAAATAAAGGGATGGAGGAAGATTTACCAAGCAAATGAAGAGCAAAAAAAAAAAAAAGAAAAAAAAAAAAAGCAGGAGTTGCAATTCTCATCTCTGATAAAACAGACTTTAAAGCAACAAACATCAGAAGAGACAAAGAGGGACATTACATAATGGTAAAAGGATCAATGCAACAAGAAGAGCTAACAATCCTAAATATATACACACCCAATACAGGAGCACCCAGATACATAAGGCAAGTTCTTAATGACTTACAAAGAGACTTAGACTCCCACACAATAATAGTGGGAGACTTTAACACCCCATTGTCAATATTAGATCAACCAGACAGAAAATTAACAAGGATATTCAGGACTTGAAATCAGACCTGGAACAAGCAAACCTAATAGACATTTACAGAACTCTCCACCCCAAATCCACAGAATATACATTCTTTTCAGCACCACATCACACCTACTCTAAAATTGACCACATAATTGGAAGCAAATCACTCCTCAGCAAATGCAAAAGAATGGAAATCATTAACGAAGAGTCTCTCAGACCATGGTGCAATCTAGTTAGAACTCAGAATTCAAAAACTAACTCAGAACCACACAGCCTCATGGAAACTGAACAACTTGCTCTTGAATGTTGACTGGATAAACAATGAAATGAAGGCAGAAATAAAGACGTTCTTTGAAACCAGCAAGAATGAAGACACAACATACCAGAATCTCTGGGACACATTTAAAGCAGTCTCTAGAGGAAAATATATAGCAATGAGTGCCCACATGAGAAGAAGGGAGAGATCTAAAATTGACACCCTATCATCTAAATTGAAAGAGTTAGAGGAGCAAGATCAAAAAAATTCAAAACCTATCAGAAGACAGGAAATAACTAAGATCAGAGCAGAACTGAAGGAGGCAGAGACACAAAAAACCCTTCAAAAAATCGATAAATCCAGGAGCTGGTTTTTCAAAAAGATCAACAAAATAGACAGACCACTAGCCACATTAATGAAAAAGAAAAGAGAGAATAACCAAATTGATGCAATAAAAAAGGATAAAGGGGATATCACCACAGATTCCACAGAAATTCAAATCATCATCAGAGATTATTACAAACAACTCTATGCACATAATCTAGTAAACCTGGAAGAAATGAATAAATTCCTGGAAACTTGCCTCCTCCCAAGCCTAAACCAGGAAGAAGTCAAAATCCTGAATAGACCAATAACAAGGTCTGAAGTTGAGGCAGCAATTAAGAGCCTACCACCCAAAAAAAAGCCCAGGTCCAGATGCGTTCACAGCCAAATTCTACCAGAAATACAAAGAGGAGCTGGTACCATTCCTTCTGAAACTATTCCAAATAATCCAAAAAGGGGGAATCCTTCCCAAATCATTTTATGAGACCAACATCATCCTGATTCCAAAACCCGGCAGAGACTCAACAAGAAAAGAAAACTTCAGGCCAATATCGATGATGAACATAGATGCAAAAATCTTCAATAAAATACTGGCAAGCTGATTGCTACAGCACATCAAAAAACTTATCCACCATGATCAAGTAGGATTCATCCCAGGGATGCAAGTCTGGTTCAACATACGCAAGTCCATAAACGTAACTCACCACATAAACAGAACCAAAGACAAAAACCACATGATTATCTCAATTGATGCAGAGAAGGCCTTTGACAAAATTCAACAGCCCTTTATGCTAAAAACTCTCAATAAACTAGGTATTGATGGAACGTATCTCAAAATAATAAAAGCTGTTTATGACAAACCAACAGCCAATATGATACTGAATGGGCAAAAACTGGAAGCATTCCCTTTGAAATCTGACACAAGACAAGAGTGCCCTCTCTCACCACTCCTATTCAGTATAGTACTGGAAGTTCTAGCCAGAGCAATCAGGCAAGAAAAAGAAATAAAGGGTATTCAAATAGGAAAGGAGGAAGTCAAATTGTCTCTATTTGCAGATGACATGATTGTATATCTAGAAGACCCCATCGCCTCAGCCCAAAATCTCCTGAAACTGATAAGCAACTTCAGCAAAGTCTCAGGATACAAAATCAATGTGCAAAAATCACAAGCATTCCTATACACCAATAACAGACTTGAAGAGAGCCAAACCAAGAATGAACTGCCATTCACAATTGCTACAAAGAGAATAAAATACCTAGGAATACAGCTAACAAGGAACGTAAAGGACCTCTTCAAGGAGAACTACAAACCACTGCTCAAGGAAATAAGAGAGGACACAAACAGATGGAGAAACATTCCATGTTCATGGTTAGGAAGAATCAATATCGTGAAAATGGCCATACTGCCCAAAGTAATTTACAGATTCAACACTATCCCCATCAAGCTACCAATGACATTCTTCACAGAACTGGAAAAAAACACCTTAAACTTCATTTGGAACCAAAAGAGAGCCCGCATAGTCAAGTCAATTCTAAGCAAAAAGAACAAAGCAGGAGGCATCACACTACTGGACTTCAAACTATACTACAAGGCTACAGTAATCAAAACAGCATGGTACTGGTACCAAAACAGAGATATAGACCAATGGAACAGAACAGAGGCCTCGGAGGCAACACAACATATCTGCAACCATCCGATCTTTGACAAACCTGACAAAAACAAGCAATGGGGAAAGGATTCCCTGTTTAATAAATGGTGTTGGGAAAACTGGCTAGCTACGTGCAAAAAGCGGAAACTGGACCCTTTCCTGACACCTTACACTAAAATTAACTCTAGATGGATTAAAGAGTTAAACTTAAGACCTAACACCATAAAAACCCTAGAAGAAAATCTAGGCAAAATCATTCAGGACATAGGCGTAGGCAAGGACTTCATGACCAAAACACCAAAAGCATTGGCAACAAAAGCCAAAATAGACAAATGGAACCTAATCAAACTCCACAGCTTCTGCACAGCAAAAGAAACAGTCATTAGAGTGAATTGGCAATCAACAGAATGGGAAAAAATTTTTGCAGTTTACCCATCTGACAAAGGGCTGATATCCAGAATTTACAAAGAACTAAAACAGCTTTACAAGAAAAAAACAAACAAGCCCATTCAAAAGTGGGCAAAGGATATGAACAGACACTTTACAAAAGAAGACATACATGAGGCCAACAAACATATGAAGAAATGCTCATCATCACTGGTTATTAGAGAAATGCAAATCGAAACTACATTGAGATACCATCTCACACCAGTTAGAATGGTGATCATTAAAAAATCTGGAGACAACAGCTGCTGGAGAGGATGTGGAGAAATAGGAATACTTTTACACTGTTGGTGGGAGTGTAAATTAGTTCAACCATTGTGGAAGACAGTGTGGCAATTCCTCAAGGACCTAGAAATAGAAATTCCATTTGACCCAGCAATCCTATTACTGGTTATATATCCAAAGGATTATAAATCGTTCTACTATAAGGACGCATGCACACAAATGTTCATTGCAGCACAGTTTACAATAGCAAAGACCTGGAACCAACCCAAATGCCCATCGATGATAGACTGGACAGGGAAAATGTGGCACATATACACCATGGAATATTACACAGCCATCAAAAACAATAAGTTCGTGTCCTTTGTAGGGACATGGATGAACCTGGAAGCCATCATTCTCAGCAAACTGACACAGGAGCAGAAAATCAAACACTGCATGTTCTCACTCATAGGCGGGTGTTGAACAATGAGAACACATGGACACAGGGAGGGGAGCACTACACACTGGGGTCTGTTGGAGTGAAATAGGGAGGAATGGCAGGGGGTGCGGAATTGGTGCGGGGGATGGCATGGGGAGAAATGCCAGATATAGGTGAGGGAGAAGTCAGCAAATCCCACTGCCATGTGTATACCTATGCAACAATCTTGCATGTTCTTCACATGTACCCCAAAACCTAAAATGCAATTAAAAAAAAAAGAAATGTACAAAGGTAGTTATTGCAGTCGTGATTATAAAAGAATAAAGAGTGAGGCCAGGCATGGTGGCTCACGACTCTATCCCAGCACTTTGGGAGGCCGAGGCAGGCAGATCAGGAGGTCAAGAGATCAAGATCATCTTGGCCAACATGGTGAAACCTGGTCTCTACTTAAAATACAAAAATTAGCTGGGCGTGGTGGCGCGTGCCTCTAGTCCCAGCTCCTCAGGAGGCTGAGGTATGAGAATTGCTTGAACCCGGGAGGTGGAGGTTGCAGTGAGCCAAGATCACGCACTGCACTGCAGCCTGGCAACAGAGCAAGACTCTGTCTTTAAAAAAAAAAAGATTGTGAGTTGGAGAACATGAATGTTCATCATTTCAGGGATGACTGAATAACTTACAATACATTTACAGTATAGTATATTATAATGCCAGTAAAAAGCATGACTTGGATTTATATTTATTGACTTGAATAGATGTCTATTATAGGGAAAAATTAAGTGTATATTGTTGAAATAACTGTCAACAGTTATTTGACAGCTGAGCCTAAAAAAAGTTATGGAAAGGATAACCTTAAGCTACTGACACTGGTTACCTGAAGGGAGAGAATTTGAAGGTAGGGGGAATTAATTGGCTTTTAAAAAAGTTCTGTTTTGTTTGAGTGTTATTAGTAATACCTTCATGATTAATGATTCAATTGAGATAGAATTGAAGTTAAAAAAGAAACAAAAAAAGAGAAAGAGAGAAAAAGAAAGAAATAAAGAAAGAGCATTAACCTTTTAGATTTCAGACCTCACGGGAGAGGAAAAAATAGATTTTTGGGCCATGCCCTGTGACTTATGCCTGTAATCCCAGAACTTTGGAAGGCTGAGGAGGGAGAATTAATTGAGGCCAGGAGTTTGAGACCAGCCTGGGCAACATAGTGAGACCCTGTCTCAAAAAAATGCCTGAAATTAGCCAGACATGATGGTTCATGTTTGTAGTCCCAGTGTAGTCCCAGCTACTAGGGAGTCTGAGGTAGGAGGATCACTTGAGCCCAGGAGTTCGAAGTTGCAGTGAGCTATCATTGTTCAACTGTACTTCAGCCAGGGTGCCAGAGTGAGACCCTGTCTCAAAAAAGAAAAAAAATATTTTTCCCAACCACAGGAAAAAGTGATGAAAAGTCAAAGCAGTTGAACCTAACAGAAATGCTACTGTAGAATTCTGACTCTTTAACTTGACATTGTTATTTTTATAAATTACAGGAATGGATTATTTTGGAGTTAACTTTCTGTGTTATAGTAGTGAGCCTCTTTCTAGTATCTTTTACAGGAAAGAACTTGTGTCTCCCCCCCCCCACCTGTCTTTTTTGTTTAATGTCTTAACAGTTTTATTTGCTGAAGGCTTATTTGAGATCTTGGCTGTTTAAAAAGAAAATAAGAAAAGATAAGATTGAGAATGAGAGAAAGAAAAAATATTATTTGTGTCCCTCAGTAGTTTGAAGGTTGCTGTAGTTCATCTTCAAATACAGAGAGTCATGAAAGATTTATTTAACCACATTTCTTTTAAGGTCGAAGGGGTTGAGATGATCACTCTCTCATCCAGAGTCTCTTTCTTCATCCAGGTCCTCTTATTTATTTATCTCTTCTCCTGAGCCAAAATTTGAGCTGCTGTGAGAGATTCTTAGTCAGTTCCCAATATTTGAAACCACTTTCAACAATACCATCCATCTCCTCTCTCCACAAGTGGCATTATCTCCACATCCTTGGAGATGAGCCGCCTTCCCCTTCCTTTATCACTTGGAACCACACACGTTTGGTTACAAATGCCCTGATAATGTTCTTGTTGGTCTCTCACAAGTGAAATAACAGATAACCATTCTCCCAATGATGGTGAGGCAGTCATCCTGCACCCTGATAACCAGGAAAGGAGGTATTCACTTCTATTACGTGCTGTGATTAAGATCTCACTGGCAAAGATACAAGTGAGATTGCCTTTATAAAATAATATCCGTGCTCTCATCATTTTATTCAGCTCAGATAGCAGCTAACATCATTTCTTGGGGCCCTCCCTCTGTACCAATCTGCACTGGCTTTCAAACGTGTATACCATCACCTGCCCTACTGGTGAGATAAGAATAAAAGTATTAGATGGCATATTAAATTGTGCAGCATTTTTCATATTACTCATACAAATGAGATAACAGCTGCGGGATAGTCTGTTTCATTCTTGGCAGAACTCCCAATCATTTGTGCTGCTGAAACAAGGCTAGCCTTACATCTCAGCAGTGTGTGCTCCTGTCTGTGGGTACCATTCAGCAGGGCTAGGAGGCTGCTTCCCCTAAGTCCACCTTCCCAGTCTGCTTGATGTGAATTAATGAGGGATGAATCTTTTTATTCCCACTCAGATTTAGGATTCATGTGAAATTATCTAAAGGAGGTAATCTACAGAGTATTTCCCAAATTTCAATTATCAAGCCCCACTTTCTTAGGGTTTTTGTTATATGCAGATGTCACCAATAATATTACTTAATTCTTTAAATTTATTTTAACTACCTGTCTTAGCCTTATTTTAATGAATAGTAATAGACTCACAATTTTTTTATGCTTGCTTTAATTTTATTATATTTGATTGACATTAAAATAAACATGTAGCTATTAATATTGCTTTCTGTGCGTTGTCTAAACTAATTTTGAGTGATACTCATGGATGTTTTCATTTGAAAAACACCATTAGGGTAGTTCTCACTAAAGTACACACCCCCAGTACAGATATTTTCTTAGTGGCTGCTGTTGGTAGCTGATCCCACACTTGAAAAAGTAGGGAGGGAAACCTATGAATATGAAAGAATCCAGGAAGGACGCATTGGAGGAAAGTAAGAAGCAGTTCTGTCTAAGGCGCGTTTCATCCTGGCTAGACTTAGATGAGTGAGATGAAGCCAAGGACATTGTGCTTACCAGCTTTCTGGTGGGATCTGGCACTGGAGGCTGACCCAGGCCTCTGTGAGGCCCTGAGCTGTAACATGCATTCAGGTACTTGCCAGGCTGCTCTTGGCTGTTCCCACCCCACCCCACAGCTACTCCTAGTCTGGAGTCTGATTGGTGTCGTGAAGAAGAGGCAAGGATGGAACAAGATGGCAAGTGTCAAGAGCTCAATTTTCTGTCAAGACTACCTTGTCTATCCAAGAAAAATGACTTGATCATGAAGGAATTTTAGAAGTACCAACAAACAAACAATGACAAGAAAACAGGACAAAAAGTCAATCAGATGAATGGGACTGAGAGGTTAAAGCTGGAACGCTCTAATGTAGAGGTAGCAGAGGCCCCTGACATCTGTCAGAGAAACAGCTTCTGTAGATGCCTAGGATCCCAGGCTTCCAAACACTCTTACCACAACAGCAGTGGCCTCTTCCTTTTCAGTCTCTGGCTCTATGCTTCCTGGTTATTACCCTGAACAAGAACTGCCAGAGTGGATGGTAATGACCCACCCTACTCAGGCCATTCCCTCAGGGTTCCACCATCTTTTGACCAAGACGATGGTCTCAGGTCAACTGTCCCAAACATGGCTCTGGATGCCATAGATGGGCTATCTTAGACACATGGCTTCTTCTTTCCAAGAGCTGCCTGGATATGGAGCTGTGTAAGACACATAGATGGTTGATAGGCAGATGGCCAGGAAGGAGTTAATTCCCAAACCAACCATAATTTAGTTGTGGGCCTGCCAAGCATGCAGGCTGAGCCTGTGAGAGCACCACCAGGGAGCTGTTAATCAGACATCAGTTGCCAGGTATGTGGATGACCTGACTGGTGACCAGAGATTGAACTAAGTGTCTGGGAACAGTTCATGTGTACAAGCCCAAGGCCCGTGAGAGACAACAATCAATCTCTGCTTCATCCTTTAATCCACATTCATTGTTAGCAACGATATAGCAAAAATCAGTGGGGGCTGTTCTTTTGTACTCTGGTTAGATAAAGCCGGAAAACATTCATAGTGTTTTGTAAATAGTACCTAGTCATTCAGTGCTGGTTAGCCCATGCTTGCCCCTCATTTCCCCAAATTAACTTTTGCCATCATTCTGCATACCCATGAGACTTGGTTTCCACTAGGCTGCTGATTGCTGCATTTCCCTGAAACTCACTGATTGCACCTATGCCCACTGCCGCCCCCCTGAACAGCCTCGCTGCTGGTCTCAGTGTCTGTTTCTCTTCAGGTTTCTTCTCCGCCATTGTTAATAAAAAAGGGAAAAATAATTATTCAAGAAGTTTACATTTTTTCTTTTTTTGAGACAGAGTCTCACTC